CCAGTTGAGTTTTATTCAACCGGACCGCACCAGCTGGTTAAAAACACGCCTAAACCACTGAAAAATCAGCCGTTATCTAAAAGTTTTTTAACCGGTAGAAAATCGGCAACCCATTTTGCAAAAAGGTGGCTAGAAACTCACTTTTCTTGAAGCAGAATCGAACCGAAACAACTCACAGACACCAATTCGTAGAATGCAGCACGAAAATATTTTTTTAAACAGTGTCAACCGATCGGTTTAAAAAGTAGACCGGACCGGTTAGGGTGCCAGTTTCAACTATGTTCCTACCTCATCACTTCACAAAAAATATACGACATTCTCTTTCAAAAGAAGCAAGAAGTATAAGTGTGATAGCGACAAAAAGATACATATACAACGGGTATGCCGAAAAATGTTAAACAGAAAAATATTAAACGACTACTACTAAACATCAATTAGTTTTCTATCCGATTTAAATATTTTTCTGTCTGAATCCGAACTGATAAATATTTTTTCTTATTGTAAGATAGAAAAATATTAAAGTTTTTCGCCTAGGATAGAAAAATATTAAATTGTTTTATTCAGATAGAAAAATATTTAATAAAGTGCAAAAATGGTCTGCTTCGATCAAGTTAGCATAGTTAGTTTCACGCAGCTGATTAGGCTGTTTGCTATTAACACTTACAGAAGTGTCAACAAGATGCTATTGCCACGTTCGGAAGTGTCATTAAGAAGCTAATAATAATTTTGAAAGTGTCAATTAGAAGCTACTTCCGGACGAAGGAAGTAAGGTCGCAGTTTGAACCTACCAAGAAGATACGAATATGCGGACGGTACGTACCGTTCACATAATTGTATCTTCTTGGTAAAGTATTTCGCATAGCATAGGAAAATATTTAATTGTTTTAAAATAAAGAAAAAATATTGAATGGACTAATATTTAAATAAGGCGGAAAAGTATTTAGTTGATTTTTAATATTAGTCGTTTAATATTTTTCTTTTTAACATTAGTCTATAGACCTATATACAACACACCATTCTTATCAATTTCAATTTTCTTAGTCTCCTTCGCACAGTAGGCAACTTTGCTATGCAAATGGACATATGCTACAGAAGCAGTGTGAATGCCTACAAATACTGTTTTTACAGGTTTTTAGGTATGCTCTTTCAATGGTGTGGTTTATCGAGTTTAAAAATGTATTGTCTGGATTTTCTCGATACCCTGATCTGTAGAAAACCTACATAAAAATACTTTTGAACTTTATAAACCACACCATTGAAAGAGCATATCTAAAAACCTGTAAAAACAGTATTTGTAGCCTTTTGCATGGCTGCTAAAATAAATATCAAAACGCCTAGTCAAAATTTGCCGTGGTATTAGGTCTAGGATTCCATTAGATCGGAAACATTTTGTACAGAAAAACTTACAAATTACACATCATTCGATGCAGCTTTTTACGCTGATTCTGAATATCAAATTAGTTTTCAATAAAAAAGTTTTTGAGCTGAAAGAAAGAGCTTTTACCTAAAAAGCCAAAGGTTTTTGGAAAAGCTATAAGTCCCGGATCATTTACGCTAATTTATGCTAACCATATACGTGTATCATAAGTGGAAGAACATTCTGTGAAAGTTTCATCAGATTGAAGTTTAGGAAAAGTTAGGAAACTCACTTTACTGAGGACATCTTTTGGAAAAATACTTGGCAGAAAAAAATAATGATCTTTTTGGATAGAAAAGTGTCAGAACAACGATATTTTTAACGTAGCGATAGTGCCAGACGTCTACTTTCAGAATATGTTTCATCTATTCCTTACCACCTTCTCCACCCTTCCACAGATGCTGGACAAAGTCGCTAAAATCTGATCGGTTTTTGTGCCTAGCGTTTTGCCACACTTTTTCTCAATTATCTCGGAAAGTTTGAGAGCTACAAAGTTCGTTCAAACGCCATTCGACGCAGCTCATACTCTATGTATGCTATTAAAAAATTGAGAGATATTTTTCAAAGCAAAATGAGCCATTTTGCAGAGAATTGAATTCTCTATTCGAGAGTATATTTTTAAAATTATTTTACGAAAATCTTTAGGTCAGAAATTAAAATTAAAGTTTTCAAAATTTTAAATTAAAATTTTTTAATTGAAAATTCAGTTTTTTTCAAAATAAAGGCCGAATTCGTGATCAGCATGAAAAACTACGTCGGGTGACGGGTTCCTACCGATTTCCCGATGAAAAAAAACAAAAAAAACTTGATCAGAGAAGTGTCGCATTACATGGACAAGCCGTGATACGAATAGCTGACAGCTCCAATTCTCCGATCAGATCTTTTAAAGGAAATATAAGAGTTGGAACCGTCCTACTCCTACGGAGATCTTGAGCGTTCGCTACGACGACATTACACTATATATTTACTTAGTGCAAACAAACAGTCATTACTTGATCTAGTATCACCATCTCAATTCTACTTCTGCTGATCCACGTCGCAACAAACGGTGTCAATCATATATGCCACACACACTTCAGCTATTTCATAAATCTTCGTTTTTTCAACCGAAGGAGAAGAGAGAAGCGGTAGCACGATAAATTATTAGTTTTCCTAATGTAAAAAAAGTTAATTATTATTTTTTCTACTGTGCACTTTCCATTTCTTGATCTTTCCGTTCAATATTGGTCCAGTTAAATAAAAACTAACTTTCGCTTTTCTCTCTTATTATTGTGTAAATTTTATTATTATTCTCTTTTCAGTTCGTACATGCCTACAAGAGGGAGAGACAAAACGACTTAGAAAGACGGCAATTTGTTATTTATTGTATTTAGAACACCGTCAGATCAACATGGAATTACTGAAGACGTTAGAACAACAATAATCGAATACAATACAATCTTTTATTTCTACACTGACTTATTAGAGCGTCTCGCGACAATAAGTTACATAAAGGTTCTACTTTAGTGCTGTGAAATTGTTTAAAAACTCGATACATCGGCAACTCTGGACTTTACTATATGTAGTTCTGTCTTTAGCCATATATCGTTCGAAACAGTAAAGTAATTATCTGATCGATGTCAGGAGAACAGGGTCGACTAATGAATCTGATAAGTGAATTATAAAAATAATTTATTTTTTATCATTTAATGTAGTATAAATAAATGACACTCAATTTTATCTTTCTTTACACAAGCTTGGAAAATGGCGTGCACTTTTTTATAAGCTGTCGACCAATCTTTTATTGGCACACGCGATCAAAATAATTTCTATATGCAAATTAGCTAGAATGAAATTTGCTTCCCACAAAGCGGAAACTGCAAGTCCCTCTCCTTTTCCTTTCCCTTTTCCAAGGTTATTCAAGATAATATCCACGGAAACTACTTCTTGAAGCAGAGTAGTGACTGCTTCTTGTTTAACTTCTTTCTGTTCTGTATACATCCAAGTTCACATTATAATCATAGGTTTCTTAATAGAAACATATTTTATTATCAAAAATATTTTATTAGAACAAGAATATTTTAGTGATATTCGATGAGGAAAACAAAGGGCACAGAGAGGAATAAATCTATTTTGAATAGTTAAATGAAGATGATAGCACTGAATATAAATTAGCAATGTTTCACACGCACTATTCGGGTTAGAATAAATGGAGAGAAGGTTAATAATTCAGTTTAAATAATAACATTTATTTACAAAACAAAAAAGAAGGTGGGAGAGACCATCAATGATGATCATAAGTGTAAAACAGCTCTGACAAAAAAAATAAATGCAATTGTCGAAACAAGTGCCAAACCAAATATGAATGTAATCAACGACCACCGAATAGCACGTTTGTAGTATGTTTGAGACTGAGCAAAATAACCTTGATTGTGAGCCCGAACAGATAATACAGCAAAATAAATGCTAATCACACCTAAAAACAAAAAACAATAAAAGCCATGAGATAGAAACATTGATGAAAAATGTGAGCTTTCTGCTCGATTTATTCAGGCAATATCTTGCGAAGGAAAGTTCGAGAGTATGTCAGTTTGTATAAAAACTCTCGTTGTTTCGTAGAGTAAGATGCACTGTCTAAACTTCAAAAGGGTGAGACACAGCATGTTCACTGTTGTGCAGTATTTGAATAGATCGAACGTACCTATGACTCGCATGAAATCATGAAAAAATGTCTTTTTGTACACATATAGATTTAAAACGGTAAAAAGTAATAGGCAGGAAGGTCCACATATCATCGAGGGGATGTCCATATATTATTTTTAGCGGGAAATGCTATACTTCTTTCAACTCAACAAGAATATCTTTGATTATAGGCTGGGCACAAACAGTAGTGAAATCTTATCTCATTTGAAATTCTCTTGTGTGTTATTGAGAATCTTTTCGTTTTCTCTTAATACAATATGTTGTGTGACAAGAAGGATTCGTGGGTTTCTCTTTATAAGTATTCATTATCAGATTATTAAAATATAGATGATTTATTATTATTGTTAAAAATACTGTCTCTTCAAATATTTAAATGAACATTACTCATATATGACATTGCAATTCCAAATAAACTAGAAAATCATTTGAATATCAAGTAAAAAACATATCTAATGCATTTTTTTACATAGTTCCACAAGGTTTACAGCACTTGTGTTATGATCTGCCTTCCCCGACAGCTCATAAGGTTCATTCTCTCTTCATTCTGCTCTTGTACCATTCTTGCGCAACTCTTGTTTCATTCTTTCGTTTTCGTTTCCTTCCACAGTGTATTTTTCCAACTCTTTCTGTTCTTGCGCAACTCTTGCAAAACTCTTGTTTAACTTTTGTACTATATATAGCCGTTCATTTGCTTCAAATAAAGATATCGGAATGAGAGTCGATTCTCACTACAGCTTCACTTCTACGATTAGAGTTAGCCACTAGAGGATCCATATCCTCACAACTTGTGAGTTGCATAATATAATTTTACCTCTCCTTTCAAGTAAAAAAAGTTAAATAATCAAGCAACGTTGCCTGTTCGTTAATGCACTCACCCAGAATTGGACACAATAGACTGGCCAACAATGCACATGCTAAACTTCGTTTTGGATGACTTTCAAGGTCTGCATCAGATAAATGACGTTGATCTGCAATGAAAAGAACAAAATGTTAACTTGTTCAAACATATGAGTTGCTCTTCTGATTAAAGCAGCTTAAATGATTTTGTAGCTTAATTTAAAGCTGCTGTTATAATTCCGTTTCCGCAATAATGTTCTTCAGTTAATAACTAGCTAAAAGTCTCGGCAAAACATCTGGTAGTATAGGGAATGTGAATCTACTTCATATAAACTAAGCAATATTATGTCAGTGCGAACGTCCTTTGCGTGTTTACCAGCCGTCGGCTAATCTTTTGTTGTCGCACGCGATCAAAACAATTTTTCTATGTAAATTAGCAAAGGATTTAGAATAAAATTTTCTAGACAACGATATTGTTCTTCAGTAAAATTTTACCCGAATTATCATTATATGCTTGATTTTGATTTGTGAATTTTGCTGAAGATGTACAACCTCGACATGATTGACCAGACGTAAATGCACGAGTACCAAACATAATGGGTGATGAACAAATAAATAATAAGTTTCACGCACACTTCCAAATTTTCATCTAAAAGCCAAGTATTTACAGTGAATTAAATAAAATAAATTATTTGCAATTTAATGCGAGTTCATTAAATTTTTATGCAAAAAAATTCTATAACTGCTTCCCGTCCCCACCGATCGTTCTTCTATCACTACTTGTTTACAATATTTCTTTTTGTTATTATAATTTTAATGTGCTAACTATAGATATAACTCCTCGCGACGAGAAGTATTTATTTCCCAATGACTATTAATAATAAAGATAGAAAAAAACTTTATAAATAATTAACGTATGTTTTCATTTCAAAATTAATTAAGAAATTATTTTTTTCATCTACTGAAAACGTTGATTTTTCTCACTCAAAAAATCATAAATCAACAATGTGATATCTTTTATTTATAATAAAAATTTATATTCTTTAACGAATAATGAATATTCCGACTGTAACGTAAAAAAGATGAACATATAGATTTTTTCGAGTACTACTTATAAAACTTGTTGTCTATACAAATCAAATATCTAAAAGTGCATAAGATCGTTATATAGAGGAGATCTTTACCTTTTTCTGTTCTTTCGACAATCGGGTTACTAGTCGTCGTACGTTTATCTTTCGGTATCAATAATAGAATATTAAATCAAATATTAAAAAAAAAGAAGAAAATATAAGGACGAAAAAATGGAAGACGAAACGTTGAATATAGTCTCTTGTGCCAATTCTCTTAATGATCAGGTTTTCTAAGAAAACTTTCTTCTTCTGTTGTTATATGTGTTGGCTTAACATGTCATTTCTCTTCTCCTTCTTTTTTTTTTGCTCTTATTGTCTTCTTCCTTAGTTACGTTAGAACTATTATATCGTAGTACATTTTTCATTAGAAAATTATTATTATTTCTATACCCTCTAGTTATTTTCTATTTTTCTTTTTCTATTTTGTTAATGTTTTTCTTCTTTTTTTTCTATTCAGGTAGTATTTAGTGTTTATGTATATCGAGTTCACTATTATTCTTAGTTTTCTAACTTATAATTTTCTAAATATCATAATGAAGAAGTAGAAACAAACAATAACCTTCTTCTTCTTAATGTAAATGACAATATGATGACATGTTGATTAGACAATGATAAATCGATAGAAAAACCGTCATGTCTTTCCATCTGAAATATACTATTGGGATCAAAATAAAAAATGAAGATATAAGAGAGCAATAACAACAATAACAGAAATTGCTCTTCGATCATGATATTGTTGATATTATCTATCTCTGATCGTACCATATTTTAAGATTTCTACGAGAAAAAATGTATTCAGTAGAGTTAAATGCTTAGTTTTATTTAAAAATGAGACCACGATCGTTAAGCGTTTAAAAGCACTTGAAAAGAAAAGGAGTTTTGAAAAGATTTTTAAAATGAAGCATAGACGTGTCTATTAAGGAACAAAAATGAATGATTAAATGGTTTCTTTCTTCTACTGTACAGAAAGGAAATGGAAGCAGAGCGGGTTCTGTATAGAAGTAAAAACCCATCCTTCGTTCATCTGAGTTATGGAACTCATATGAAGTTTACATTTCAGAGAAAACGAGACAATATTATTAAAATCCTACATATCATTGCTCATAGAAATGAGCAATTATTTTGTATAATTAATCATTGTAGTTATTTCAGATCATGTTAAGAGTTAATATATTTGAAAACTCGTCTGTAAATTATGAATTCAATATGAATCAATATGAATAATAAGATGTTCTGTAATTTCTTGGATTTTTCTTTGTTTTTTGAGAAATGTTCTTCAAATTTTATGATTAATGTACTTTACTTCTAGCTATTTTCTTTGGATACGCAACAGAAATAACTGCTTAAACTTACTTTGGATTCACACACTGTTAATATATACAGAAAGGTTATAAACAACACGAAACGTATCTAGCAATTCTTAAAGCGCTTATACTTTATTAATAAAATTCTCAGCTTGATCTTGTATTTGACACTCATTTCTAAACAGAGAAAATATATTATCTTTTTTTGGATATCGTCTTGATTCGTCGGAGTATTCATTTTTTTCCTGACTCGTCGATAACATTGGGGGAGAGATGAAAGATGTTAGTGGGGCACCGATACTATCAAATGTCAACGAATCAGGACTGAATCCTTTTTTTGGTGTCCATACATGCATGCTAGATCTATAAAACAACACTATTCAGTATTCTTCTTTGATCTATATTTTAAAATCTATATTTATGCTGTTAGTACTGAAAAGAATGTTGTTTCCATTAAACGAAGACTTTGTTATAAATTGACATTTCTGGCAGGGATGTTTATTTCTGTTTAATAAAATCTAATTGTACAGGTGGCATTCAGAGCACTTTTTGCAGATTGTTTATCTACATGTCGTTATTTTAGGTTAGAACTATATATATATATATACAGGCTCTTCGTATAATTATCAAATTCTATAGAAATTTAATTTCTAGGCTGTCACTAAGATATCTGTCAAACAATATGCAACCTATGGCCATAACACTGATAGAGAACTAGTATTCTAGACGAACGTTTATTAAATGTATGCGAATTAACATAAATTACTACTGACAGGCACTTCGCAGTTTTCGTTGTGCGACGCTTATCCATGTATAATTTGAAAATATACAACTTCTAGTTTTGATCATAATAGAAGAAACAAAAGTGTGTATTTTAAGTTTTCAACAATTTTCAGTTGTGATTACTTTATGAATTCGAGAAGGGTTCGTATCAAGGAGAAAATATGACTTTTTTCTTTCTTAGCATCGCTCAGCATCGGATGTTTTACATCTCAAAGCTTCGGAAAGCATTTCAAGGGCTCTGGAAAGCTCCCAGAGCCGTATTTCTCCCTTGTTAGTGTTGTTGAAATGTCATGAAATACATTTTGTCTTTGAATATACACGACATGTAGACCTATGAAAGGATGAATTTAACCCATCAACCGTCTACTAATCAAAACTAATTGCCAATATCGTTTTCTAAACATTGTTATATCTATCACATGTCAACAGGTTAAATTTAATAGCATAATCTGTATTATATAAAAAACTATAACAAGACTATATTCCATTACATATGTAATTTTTTTGATATTCGACAGGAAGTGTACTATGATTGATACTACTGGTGGTAAGTATAAACTAATTTGTTTTACTTGAATAGACACTAGACCAATTATTAGTAGATGTTATTAATCACATTAATAAAACATTATATGATAAGATCTTATACTTACGGAATAAAGAATATAGACTGGAAATTTTTGCAAAATAATAAAGTAAATCTTGAATATATATTGTGATGATACTTGTGAAAACTAAGAAACATGGTTAACTTATAAAATAATGTTTTGGGAATGACATAGGTATTTTAAGAGCAGTAAATATTGAGGGGATTTGTACTGACAGAGGTTAGTATACCATTACTTATTTAAAGAGAATTGTGCTATAGAAAATACTTTTCCTCCTCAGTACTAAACTTGATGTTGCCAATAAACACGTGCAAAAGAACACAACAAAAAAAAACGAAAATGTAGATGGTATTCATGAAGATAAGAAAGAAAGAAAAGAGATAATCTTTCAATAACTAGAAAAAGGAATTTTCATCATTATAAACCGTTGAAAACTTTTGTTTTGTGATCACTCTCAATCGCGTACAGTAATTAATATTCTTACTATTGCTAGGAGAATTTTTTTTATTAGTAGCCGATTGTTTTGTCATACAGTGGATGTTTGCAGCACTTATCAGTCGTCTTAATATCCTAAAGAAACCTTTCTTCTAATAATTAATTTAGTCATGCATATAGTTCTTCATATAAAAAAATTATCTAATATTTTGTAGTACCATGATCAGATACAAAATTGTTGGCATGTGTTCATGATAAACAAGAAAATAATAATCATTTAACAAATCAATTTATATTTTATTAGTGTCAAAAATTGTCAATGTTTTTTATAAATGACAATATTTCTCTATACGAAAAAAAATTCTACAGCAAATTAACATAATAACAATCACATACCAATTCTAATGAGACAAAACATTTTTTTATCTTCCTTGTCTTTTCAGAAGACATCTGGGTATCAAAATGGTTATGTTGGTATAAAAAGAGAACTTAAGTAAGTATCTACAGATTTTGTTAGAAGAGGTAATAATGAGAAGTAATAAACATAAATAGTGTATGATAAAACATGTGCTATGGGATCAGCAACATTGTTCGATCTATGCTGCGTTAACTGTCGTACCCCATACAACAAAGCATCGCGTTTGTGAACATTAATTAGTTGTCTTGAATATTGTTCGAAAACTGTTGAGAAATAAATCAACTTGTGCGTCAGTTTCAACGTGACGTAATCCGGATGGAATTGTTATTGTTCCAATATTGGTATTGTACCCGTACTTTGAATGTATTTTTGACCATTCGTCTCATAACTCACCAGTAAGCGTATCACTAAGCCACCACGATTTTCAACACGAATTGACTCATCACCATTACATACGCTAAAGTAAAATCTATAGAATTTACTTTTAACAAATATCCTAGTTATTTTTCGCTTATTATACCAAACTTCTTTCATGACATGGGCTAATAATCTGCTTTTATTAACTTATAATATATATATATTGACATTCTTTGACTTTTTAATATTTTTTTATAAAACTAATTATATTTAATATAATTACAAAACATTTTCGTAATATGACTGTCGTCGTATTAGCCTGATGATGATACTGTGAAGTGTCGAAAGCTCGCTTTTTATGTAAAATGATTTTATGAAAATGTTTTGCAATTATATTAAATATGTTAGTATATACATTGTAAATTCTTTACATGAATTTGAGACGAAATGCAAAAGAGAAGGAAGGCTTTCTGGGGTATTTGTAAAAGATGCCATCACCCACCAACAACCCTAAATTGCCCGAGACCATCTTAGATCGATGGAGCGCGCCAAATAATCCTACACCAACATCCATCAACATCCATTTTGAACCTGAAGCTGAGGTACCCTGAACGGAATACTACTACCAACATCCAGATGGACGAATATTTGCACCCGCTTATCCTCTCTGCAGTATTTAGGATGCTGAGTTACTTATAAGAACGTACGTACATCACATATTTAGACATATTTAGACACATATTCACCCTTCCCGAAGAAACCGATGTTTCTCTACAAATGTTTTTTCCTGAAAAAATCGACGCTTTTCCACAAGCACTTCTTGTTTTTTCGCAAAGGAACCGAGGTTTCTTCACAAATACTCGAGGTACCTTCCTGAAGACACCGATGTTTCTCCGCAAATACTCCAGGTTCCTTTCTGAAGACACCGATGTTTCCTCACAAATACTCTATGTCTTTTCCTGTCCTCCAAAAAACATGAAGTTCTTGTGAGAAACATCGGTTTTTCAGGAATAAGAAACAACCATTTTTCCGATTTTTGGCAAGTTGAAGTAAAAATCTTACGCAATCATATTTGAAAAACTTGTCATATCTGATTTGCTGCGTCTTCATCTGTTCTTTCTACGCTTGGTGCTTAATTCCAGAGCGTACCCAGTACGGAAAAATAAATACGCTTCGAGTTTTCTAAGAATTTAAATTTCTTTTTGTTTTAAAGACAAGGCAAAGAACGTAGCAAATCATATATGACAAGTTTGTTCAAATATGATTGCCGAAGATTTTTTATTCAATTTGCCAACTATCCGAACAATGGTTGTTTCTTATTAACAAACTTCATGTTTTTTCCTGAAGAAACCGATGTTTCTCACAAGAACTTCATAACCTTTTAAAAAACTTTCCGGAAGAAGTTCGTTTAGAAGTTTCTCGCAGTTTTGAAGAAGTTTCTCCACAAATACCCGGAAGAAACCGATATTTCTCACAAGAATTTGATGTTTTTTGAAGGACAGGAAAAGACATGAAGTATTTTCGGAGAAATATAGGAATTTTCGACCACAAAACAACAAGTTCTTGTGAAGAACCACCGAGTGTGCCAGGAGAAAACGTGAAGTTCTCGCGCAGAAACACCGAGTGTTCCAGGAAACGAGATGAAGTTCTTCTGGAGAACCACAAATTTTTCCTGGAAAAGCGGTGAAATTATTGTGAACAAAAATCGAGCTTTCCAGTAGAAAACTGAATTTCTTGCGCTGAAACACCGAGTGTCCTAGGAGAAGAGATGAAGTTTTTTGAGGAAACACCGAGTTTTCCAGCAGAAGAGGTAAAGTTCTTTTCAAAAAACATCGAGGTTTTCAGACGAAAAGATGAAGTTCTTGTGCAGAAATATTGGCGTATTGACGAGGGATCATGAAGTTCTCGTGGAGAAACACCGAGCTTTCCACGAGAAAAGAAACATCGAGTTTTCCAGCAGAAGGGATGAAGTTCTTGTGAAGAACCACCCAGTTTTCCTGGAAAATATGTGAAGTTTTTCTGAAGAAATCACAATTTCTTTAACAGAACACATGAAGTTCGTGTGAAGAAGCACGAAGTTTTCCAGGAGAAGAGATGAAGTACTTCTGACGCACCACCCAGTTTTCTCGAAAAGAGTAGAAGTTCTTCCGAAGAAACGACCATTTCTTGACGAGAAAACATGAAGTTTTTGGAAAGAAGCACCGAGTGTTCCAGGAAAAGAGGTTAAGTTGTTGTGAAGAAACATCGGGCTTTCCAGGAGAAGAGATGAACTTGTTGCGACGAAACAGCGACGAAACATCGAGCTTTCTAGCCGAAGAGATGAAGTTCTTTAAAAGAACCACCCTGTTTTTTCTGTCTACCACGTCGATTTCTTGATAAGGAAACATGAAGTTCCAGTGAAGAAACAACAAGTTTTCCAAGAGAATACATGAGAACGCAAGTTCTCGTGAAGAAACATCTGGTCTCTGCAAGAAAAATCATGACGTAAGCTCTTCTGAAGTAACCTTGATTCCGGAGAAGAGCTAAAGTTGTTGTGAAGAGATGTCAATTTCTTGACAAGAAAACATGAAGTGGTTGTGAGGAAGCACCGAGTTTTCTAGGAAAAACGGTGAATTTCTTCTGAGGAAACACCGAGTGCTCCGGGAGAAGAGATGAAGTTCTTGTGAGGAAACGTCGATTTCTTGACGAGAATACATGAAGTTCTTGTGAAGAAGCACAAATTTTTGCTGGAAAAAACGTGAAATTTTTGCATAGACTGTTTGTGAAGAAACATCGATTTTGCACCGACTACTGCAGGAAAAGAGGTGAAGTTATTGTGACGATACGGCTATTGTTTCGGACAGCAAACACCGTTTTCTGTCGAAAAACTGGGTGGTTCTTGAAAAGAACTTCATGTCTTCTCCTGGAACACTGGGTGTTTCTGCGCAAGAACTTCACGTTTCCTCGTCGAGAAATCAACATTTCTTTACAAGGACTTCATCGCTGCTCCTGGAAAATTCGATATTTCCTCACGAGAACTTCATGTTTTCTCGTCAGGACATCGATGTTTCTTCACAAGAAATTCTTGCGCAGAAACACCGAGTGTTCCAGGAGAGAAGATGAAGTTACTGTGAAGAAACAGCGATTTCTTTGATTTGACGAAGTTTGCGAGGGGAAAACGTTCCTGCGCAGAAACACCGAGTTTACCGGGAGAAGACATGAGAAGTTCCTTTCAAGAACCAGCCAGTTTCACACAAAAAGAGTTGAAGTTCTTGTGAAGAAGCGCCGAGTTTTCCAGGAGCAGACATGAAGTTCTTGCTCAGAAACACCGAGTGATCCAGGAGAAGAGATGAAGCTTCAGCGCCGAAACACTGAGTTTTCCACGAGAAAAGATGAAATTCAAAAGACAAGAAGCACCGAGTTTTCCAAGACACAACATGAAGTTCTTGTGAAGAACCACCCAATATTCCTGGAAAAGAGGTGAAGTTCTCGTGAAGAAACACCGCGAGAACTTCATGTCTGCTTCTGGAAAACTCGGCGCTTCTTCAGAACAACTTCAACTCTTTTCGTGTAAAACTGGCTGATTCTTGAAAGCAACTTCTCGTGTCTTCCTGTCTAACTTCATCTCTTCTCCTGGAACACTCGCTGTTTTTGCGCAAGAGATTCACGCTTTCTCCTGGAAAACTCATTGCTTCTTCACAAAAACTTCATCTTTTGTCGTGAAGTAATCGAGCTTTCTCAACAAGAACTTCATGACTTCTCCTGAAGAAGTCGGTCTTTTGCTACAAGATCTACAGGTTTTTTACTGAACAAATCGGTGTTTTGTTAGTAAAACTTCGTGTTTTTTCAGGAAGAACTCGGTGCTTCTCCACCAGAACTTCATGTTTTCTCGTCAAGAAATCGACGTTTCTTCGGAAGAACTTCACCTCTCCTCTTGGAAAACTCGATGTTTCTGCACACGAACTTCATCTCTTTCCGCGGAAAACTGGGTGGTTCTTCACAAGAAAGCCTAAGTGTTTTCGCCCTAAATCGAGCTTACTTCAGGAGAATGTGATAATTTTTCTTACAGCGACCAGATGTTTCTTCGCGAAAACTTCATCGTTTTTCCTGGAAGAACTGGTGTTTCTTCACAAGAGCTTCATCTTTTCCCGTGGAACACTCGGTGTTTCTGCGCAAAAACTTCACCTCTTTTCCTGGAAAACTGGGTGGTTCTTCAGAAGAAACTCGACTTTTTTACTTCAGGAGAACGTAATGATTTTTCTTGTAGAGACCGGATGTTTCTTCAGGAGAAAAATTATCACCTTTTCCTCAAGCTCGATTTATGCCGGAAAAACGTCTCTTGTGAAAACCCACCCAGTTTTCCACGAAAATAGGTTAAGGTCTTGCGAAGAAACATCGAGTTCTTGACTAGACAACATGAAGTTCCTGTGAAGAACTACCGAGTTTTTCAGAAAAAGAGGTGAAGTTCTGGTAAAGAAACATCCGGTCTCTACAAGAAAAATTCTCACATTCACCTCAAGTAAGCTCGATTTACGCGGGAAAAAGGCGAGTTTCTTGTGAAGAACCACCCAGTTTTTCAGCAGAAAAATGCTTAAGTTCTTGTGAAAAAACATCGATTTCTTGACAAGGAAACATGAAGTTTCTCGGAAGAAACGCCAAGTTTTGCAGGAGAAAAGGTGAACTTATTGCACAGAAACATTGAGTGTTCCACGGGAAAATATGTTCTTGTGAAGAAGCGCCCACTTTTCCACGAGAAAAGATGTAGTTCTTCTGAAGAAACACCACGTCTTCCAGGAAAAAAGGTGAATATTTCGAGAGGAAACATCTTGTCTCTGCAAAAAAAATTATCACATTCTGCTGAAGTAAGCCGAATTTAGGCCGAAAAAAACTACCCAGTTTTCCGCGAAAAGAGATGAAGTTCTTGTGAAGTTGTGAAGAAACATCGGGTTTCCCACGAGGAGAGATGAAGTTCTTCTGAAGAAACGTCGAGTTCTTGACGAGAAAACATGAAGTTCTTATGAAGTAGCACCGAGTTTTTCGGCACCAAATGTGAAGTTGTTGCGCAGGAACACCGAGTTTAGCAGGAGAAGAGATGAAGCCCGAAATTTCTCCACAAGAAATTCACCTCTTTTCCTGAAATACTGGGTGGTTCTTTAAATGAACTTCATGTCTTCTGCTGGAAAACTCGGTGTTTCTGCGCAAGAACTGCAGGTTTTCTACTGGAAAACGCGGTGTTTCTTCACACGAGCTGCGTGTTATCTCGTCAAGAAATCCATGTTTTTTAACAAAAACTTCAGCTCTTTTCGTGTAAAACTGGCCGGTTCTTGAAAGGAACTTCTCATGTCTTCTCCTGCAGAACTCGGTGTTTCTGCGCAAAAACTGTACGTTTTCTCCTCGAAAACTCGGTGTTTCCTCTCAAGAACTTCAAGTTCCCTCGTCGACACATCGATGTTTCTTCACAAGAACATCTTTTGTCGTGAAGTAATCTAGCTTTCTCAACAAGAACTACATGTTTTTGCCTGAAGAAACCGGTATTGCTCCACAAGAACTTCATGACTTCTCCTCAAGAAGTCGGTCTTCCTCCACAAGTACTACAGGTTTTTCCCTGAAGAAATCGTGGTTTCTCCACAAGAACTTTGTCCCTTATTCCGGAGGGAATCGGAGTTTCTCCACAGGAATTTCATGTTTTTTCAAGAAATAAATCACGGTTTCTCCACAAGAAGTTCAGGTTTCAACATTACAAAGCAAGTAAACTTGAAGCAGTTGATATTGCATTGCTAAAAGTTTCTAGTGATCATAAATTAAACAAGAGGAAAGAGTACAATGCAATTGGCTTCAAATGTCAAAGTGCCTATTCTATTATAATTTCTTTCTAACAGTAACATTACTAGACTACTATAACTTACAGTGAATTTTCATACTCATTTTTGTCAATATATTGTAAATATCTTTTGAATTTCTTTATTTTGGTTGAAAACATACTGTTTTACTGAATTGTATTCTACCCATTTTATGTAAAACATAAAAATAAATCAAAACTTCTCTCAACCATTCCAATTGTCGTTGATCATTAGAAAAATTGTTCACACGTTAACCAGATAGGTGTTTGTTGCTGTGGTAGTTGAATATAGCCAATTATATAGATGATTATGTCAAGAATCCAATTTACTAACGATGTATGATGATAATTCATAATCACGAATATCCACTTGTGATTGTTGTTGATCGTTCATTTTCACTCTTTTCATATCCAGATTAAGAAACATCTGTTGTGGTGTCTGATTGATTAATTCTCGAACGATGTCAACAAAATTACGTGCTTGTTGTTGAGCACCATCATAAGTTACCAATTTCATTAAATCATGAGTAACTTGTAGTACATGATAAACACCTATCAAAAAAAAAGAAAACAAAAAAAATATAATAGGGTCGTTTGTCTACACATTTTGAAATATTTTATAGCTACCTAATATTGTCAAATGTTCACATGGTTCATGTGAACCTGTTGTCGCTAAACGACCCATTGCCAAATTTTCTACAAGAGCAGTCTCAACAAAACGCGAAATTTATATTTTTTTTAAAAAAACGGTGAAAAACGCGTTCATTTTATAGAAAAAACTGGAAAAACCGTGATTTTTTAAAAACGATTAGGAACACAAAAAAACACTGGCGTTTTCTTCTGTTTTCTTTAATATTAGAGAAAAAATCCGCTTGAACGCTGCTAGAAATAAACGCGTTGATCTTCGTTTGACTTTTGGTTGTGTTTAGTTTGTCACACATTTTTGTTTAATGCTGTGGATGTGAACAAGGTACAGAGTTGTTCTTCGCGTATTTTCTCATCTGGTGTGTATTTAGTTGAAAGCCAGATGCAAGAATTTGCTTGTGACTTGTCTCACCAAAACGAGAAAATAGAAAAACCTGTTCTAATCCGGTTTTTCGTAGATGTGTTGAAACGAGAAACTAGTAAAACGCCTTGTTTTCTCATGGCACTGAAACCATCCGATCAGAGAACGCTTTTCTACGCGTTTCAAGGGAAAACGAAAAAAGATGCCATATCTCATTTTCTGGTTTCGGCGCGTTTAAGAAAAAACGTTTTGGAACGCGAAACTCAACATCACGTTTCGTCGCGTTCGTGAAAAAACTGAAAAAAGCCGAGTTCTTTTAGAAATGCGTTGAAATCCAAAAATAAAAACTGGCGTTTTAGTCCGTTATAGCAATGAACGTGACGAAACGCCATGTTGAGTTTCGCGTTCCAAAACGTTTTCTTTTTAGATGTGTGGAAACTAGAAAAACAACTCTGGCGTTTCGTCGCATTTGTAAAAAAAACGGACTAAAACGCCAGTTTTTATTTTTGAATTTCAACGCAGTTTTAAAAGAAACTCAGTTTTCCTCAGTTTTTTCACGAACGCGACGAAACGCCGTGTTTAATTTCTCGTTCTAATACGCCTTTTTTTTAACGTGCCGAAGCTAGAAAATGAGATATGACGTTGTGCAAGATGACTATCCTCTAAGGTTCGAGCCAAACGTTCCAACTGGTTTTTGGTAGCCAAGGAAGTATCATCTACTTTCAACTGTAATGCATGGACTGCATGCTGAAGAAGTTCAATTTGATTCTCGATATGCTGGTTCTTACAATCAATTTTTTCATTTTGTTCCTGCATTCGAGAATCTGTGAGTACAGTCTGAGAGCGATGGTTATCATAAAGCGTTTGAAGATGGTCCTGGATGGACCTTTCGGAGGTGGATAAATTAGGAAATTCAGCCATGATAAAAACCAACGTGACTTAGCAGACAATATGAAGAAAGATAGAAAGAAAAAAGAAGAAGAAGAGTTTTGCAGGAGAACGGAAGGTCCGGCAAGACTAGATCGCCAAGTGTGAGGAACCTATACTTCTTCTAGTTATAAGTCCTTGAGTTGATTGTATGCGTGCGTTAAGATATGTAGTATCACTCTTTTATTCGACTACTCTTTGTCACAAACTACAAAAAACTAAACTCACACAAGAAAAATACTAATATATATATGTACTACTGCATGCACAAAAGATAAAAATCAAAAAGAACAAAGCGAGGAAAGAACAAAAACAGACAAAGAACTGAACAGAACAAAAGAGAGTAGCCCTACCGAAAGAAGTACATACAGGACAGAGAGGTTGTAACAAAGAATCGTCACAGTGGGACATTTCAGATGAATTTGGTCGTCACGGAAAGGCGTAGCTACTCGACTGCGTACAACCTTGTGCAACTATCTTTTGAATCCCAACCATCTTTTATTTAGTGTTTCTTTATCTGACAGTTATTAATCTTGGATGATAATGATCATGTATTACTTCACAATTCAAATATTCTGTAGAATTTGTTAAGGATAATTATATTCTTGTTCAGTTGTTACACATCAAATATAATTATCAATATTTAAGTTTTGATTTTTACCACACTAAAAAAGAACAACAAAACTCTATTTAATCGATGCACGTGAACCATCTTTTGTCCCCTCAAAATGAAAAATTATCATTTTACGGACACCATTAAATGGCATTTTCGTCCATTTATTAGACCGCGTTAACTAATGCCAAATAAATGTGGCCGTTAAATGTCCGTTTTTTCTCCATTTCAAAATGGCAAAAACCTGGTCATAAAATGGCATTTAACAGCCAGTTTATGGTCACCAAGTCATTCACCGTTTTATTCTGGCGTCATGAATAGTATAAATGACTCTTATTTTCCTAAAATAATTTAGAGTGTTTCTGTTCTTCAATTATACGAGTCACAGAAACTTGCCTCGACGAAGTGGTCTGTGGTTCTTGACTCGATGCAGGTGATAGTACCTCAGGTTCAGAAGATATTTTTTTGACATTTTCTAACGGTCTAATAATTGATATTTAAATGGCAAAAAAGTGTGACCAGTAGAGTTACTGGTAGCAGTTAAATGCCTGTTATTTGACTGTTTTTTTGACATTTAAAAAAATGCGAAATAAATGCATTTAAACGTTCCCAGTTATAATGGCAAAAAACGGGGTCAAATGTTATAAAAATGCCATTTAAATGCTTATTAACAGCTTATTCAATGGCATTTAATTGGCAATTAATTACACCGTTTTCGACGTCTTGGGAAGTTATTTCTGCAAAAGAGGCGGTACCGGCTTCGTTATGAAAATGAAGTACTTGGGCGCAAAAGCACAACCACTAGGATATGACCATCTAGCTACTTGAAATGGCACTTAAATTGATGTCTCGAAACAACAGTTGAACATGTTATATACAATTTTGTGGGAGATGTCACTAAGTACCGCACTTGCAGAATGCTCCTTACTACCATCACCAGTTCAAATTGCTATTGATGGGGAAGACAAGCTAATCAACGCAAGCCTTTTGCAGTTAAGATGGTTATCCCTTTTTTTACTGAGAAACTGAACTGAACTGATTTCTGAGTCACCAGATCGTAAATTTTTCTATCACTCAATCAGAAAGGTTCAGTAAAATCAGTTTCTCAGTAAAAAAAGGGACAACCGTCAAGGTTCCATTTTTTAATTTTTTATATTAGATTAATAAGTTAGACTTATTGCTCTTCACTCCAAGCGTTGCCTAGCAAAACTGTTTTTTCTTTCTTTCTAGATTCTTTTTTCTCTTCGAGCCAGCCGTTATCTCTGATCGTACAGATTTCGGAAAAAGATGATTCGAACGTAGAGAAGTCGTAGATTGACGCATCTGAAGTTAGTTTTTCGGATATTCCGTTTAGTTATCCTATAATTAGTGTCACAAAATGAGTATATTTTTGAGTTAATTCTATCGTTTCTCCTATGAGATAATTAATCGTCGCGCGATTCATTTCATAGTGAATATATGCTATAGTGCTCGATATGACGAAAGCTATACTGTAGTAGAATATATGACACGATAATGAATCAGTTGATATAGTAATGTACATTCTTCTTGAAGACAAGTCAAACTGTTTCAACTGCGTTTCTGGATCTTCTAATTTCGTCTTGTTATCGTTTTACTCAGTCGACTTTCCAATCTTCCCGCAGGGCAGTTGGTCTCTAATTTATATGTTTTTTTTATTATTATAAATGTTAATTCTTTCCTATTTCAGCTATTCTCTTCTTTGCTTTTTTTTTATTCTTGCTTCTTTAAAATTGTTACCTCGACCGCTCATTTCTGTTGGGTGTCGTGTATATGAAGTTTTAGACGTTTTTGACTGAAATAAAAGGCATGTTTTGTCCACTTTAGCCTAGAGTAGAACGCACAGTAGACGACCTGGTTTGGTTTGGTTTGGTCTGTATACATCTAGGAACAAGAAAAGGAGTAGTTCTTGTTACAGTGCGGTCGCCGGATATCATGACTCATTAGCAGATTTCGTGCACTTTTGTCGGTTACTACAATATGTAAGTTGGATATACATTGGATGAAAGTTCTGGATTAAATAAGGGTAAAATCAAGTTTCATCTTTTATTTTCATGAAACTTGATTTTACCCTTATTTAGTCCAGAACTTTCATCCAATGTACATTGTACATCCACTTACATATTGTACACGACAAAAAGTACACGAAATAAACGTCTCATTTTCTTGAGCTTTCTTACTAGTAAATGTGCAGCAGTGTTTCTGACCGGTATTCGAGCCAATGGGTATGGACTAGTTGCAGTTAAATGTAGTTAACTGTAACTAGTGAATTGTAAAACTACAAGGAGTACTGACATATCTGAGGGGAAACTAAAATTCAAAAGCATAATATTTTCCTTATTTATGGCTAATTTAATTGTATATCCATCGGTAGTAATCGACTAACCAATAGACCAGTTGACACTGGTTTTTTAGATCTTTAAAATTAATGCGGCTTATACATGACATTTGGACAGTAGTAAACGAAAAGTAAGCGTAATTCTTCTCTATGAGTTCGACGGCTTGGAAGTGTAAACGAAAAAGATAAATAGTACAAAAGAGTACAATCATTCATGTATAACGATCAACGAAATAATTGAACTGTTGGATCATACTCTATAATATAAGTCAGAATGAAGTTATATAAGTTATTAAACACGTCTATTCTTCTTTCTCTACTCATAATTTGATCACATGGTCAAAAACTGAAGCTATGTTGCGAAACTCGATGGGATCATTAATGTATTCAACACTTGCTGAAAAAGCAAACACTCGTGTTTATCGCTCAAGCTCTAACAATTACTCTGATGGCGACGTTGAATTTCATTAGCTTAACTCACGTCATTTGACGAAATAATCGGTTTCAACCCATCATCATAGTTGATTAGTGCGACTTATACTGACCATTTTTCAAAGTTGCTTATAGAACTATTACAAAAAGCATAACAGATTTTTATACAAAATCTAATTTATTAATTGATTTTCGAGCTTTCGATACAGATCCTACATCATTATCAGGAAGATGATATGAATTAAAAAATTAACAATATATACATAGTGTGTAGATGTGACTGGAGAAAAATAAAAGAGAAGAAAAAGTACAACGTCATTACTTAAACATGAACAAGAAGAATATTATCATTAATTAAAAATAAGAAGAAAGAATATCCATCTTCTACAAACATATCATGTGTTCGTAGAACAAGTGTTTCTGGACGAAAAAATTGTCACTTAAGTAGGACCGACGTAATCTTCACCCAAAAATTTTAAGTTTATATTTAACGTCATCAATTGATTTACCATGACTTGTGTATGTAAATAAACTTTCCTTTATCGTACATCGCTTCCAGTGATTATTTTTCGACATTATTGAAATCAAATTGATGTTGAATCTTTAATTTACAAACTGTTGATGTTTGTACCATATTACGAATAGCTATTTTATGTTCAGTCATACATGTGGGTTGAAATCGGCTAGTTTTCCCATTCTACACTTTATTACAGTTTTTGTATGATACTTTATAAACTAATTTCTTATGTTGCTTGGTTTCATCAATGTCTTTTTTGTAATGGTAGAAAGGTACTTTTTAATATGAATATCTTACTCAATGGAATATTAACTTGAATATTTGATTGTAGTTTGTTAAATAATTTCTTCATTCATCCCTCTAATATTGTTGATTTATGTCCATAATATGCAATTTTTAAAAAAATATTGTCTTTGTTATATTATTTATTGTTTTGTTTTGTTATTTGTTGTCTGTTGCCGTTATTGTTGTATTAAGAGTTTCGCTATTACTTCGCCTTCCCTTAATACCACGCCGAATAATATGTTCAGGATAACCATTGTTTTTTAATCAATCCTTTTAATTCAAGTTTGAAATAATATGATGATGAACATATTGGTAAAATTTTGATTACTATTAATTTAATCATATCAAGTTTATATTTACGACATTGAGTACTTCCATTTAACAAGTATAAACTTGTTATTCGTTGGTTTTTGATAAATGGTTTGTTTCATAACTGTCACAATTTTTATTTATTAATAAATTATTAAAACATCTAAAAATGACATACGTTCATGATTTTCCATTTCGACAGTAAATGTTATATTAGCATACCATTTATTAATACGTTGTAAAAAAAGTCATTAATGTTTTGATTTACTATAAATATACAAAATACATTATCGACGTAACGTAACGCAGCCATACTGATGGTTTCTTAGAAGAAAAACGACTGATTTTTGTTTCTAGCTTAGTCATGAATAGGTTCAAGAGGCGAATTCACTGCTACACTTTCACATTGAATATAATTTTTCGACATGAAGCTGGAAGGAACCTAACAAATTGCTAGTTGTAAATTAAACGCCGATACGCTATTGTTAATTTTTTAATTCATATCATCTTCCTGATGATAATGTAAGATCTACATCGAAAGCTCGAAAATCAATTAATAAGTTAGATTTTGCATAAAAATCTGTTATGTTTTTTGTAGCAGTTCTATACTCAATTTTCCCTTCTTTCTTTCATGCTCCTCTACCTACGTTTGATTTCGTAATTTTGATACATCTAACAATAATTTAGTAATTCACAAATAACTTGTTCTTCTGAATAATTCTAGAATACACAAAATTTTTCGACGAGTACTTTATCAGCTTTCAACACCAAATGGCCATTGAATAATGCTGGTAACGTGTTAATCGTTAATCTATCTTGGCAAATTGTTTGTATTCGATTGACGTCACCAACACCATTTATAATTATCCACACTGACCATGAAATCAACTGGATACTTAACAATAGCGTAGTGTCTGTAATGAAAATATTAGTTCATTATTCGATCAATTAGATGATAGATTTCCAGATAATTCTGCCCCATT